GACGTGGAGGAGCCGCCGCCGCCGCCGCTCACCGCCAGGGCAGCTGGCGGCGCTGGCTGGCGCGGCGGCCGTGGCGGCAGCGGCGCTCCTGGCGGGGCGTACGGCGCCCGACAGAGCTGGCACGGGGGCTCTGTCGACGATACAGACGACATGGTGGATGGCGGGCCGTACGGACCGTACGGCGGCGGCCCGGACTTCAGGTCGTACGGGGACAGACCCGACTCTCCAGGTGCTGGCAGCGGTGGCGGCTGCGGCAAGGCCGCCTCCCCTCCCGCCGCCACAGCCGCCCCTGCCCCTGCCCCCAGCAAGCGGCAGCGCTTGGGCGAGCTGGGTGGGCCACTTAGCGCCCGCAGCAGTGGCGGAGCGGGGGGCCGCGGGGGGGCTCGCGGCAGGAACACGAGTCCAGTGGGCCCTGGCTCGGTGGCGCTGGCGGGACGGGCCGGCGTCTCCGCGGCTACGGCTAGTACGGCTGCCGCCGCCGCCGCCGCCGTCAGTGGTGGCGGTGGTGGTGGTGCCTTGCATCCCCGGCATCCCCAGCGGCTGCTGCAGCAAACGTACGAGCCGCAGATGGCGGTCCGCGATGTGGAGGAGAAGGACGGCGGGCGGCAGCTGTCCCTGACCTTCCTGCACAGCACCCTGGGGTCGTTTGCGGGTAGCCTGATGTTGGTGGCGGCGGAGTGAGTGTGATATACCACTAGTACCATCAAGTTGAGGATGATGACTACAATGCCGTTTGTGCGTGTGTCTGTGTGTGTGTCTGTGTGTGCGTGTGTGTGTTTTGATTGATTGATGGGTTGGTTGGTTGGTTGGTTGAATGGTCATATGATGATGTTGAGGGTTCTGGTTGGTGCGCTCATGGGATAGAGTGGTCTTGGGGGCCCGCCTCAGTGACTGCGAAGTGAAGTGAAGTGAAGTGACATCTTTTAACCCCCGCGACCGAGTAGCGCTCTCGCGAAGGCAAAAGCGGCAAAGGCAGCAGCAACTGCAGTAGCGGCAGTGGCGGCGGCGTCGGTAACAGTATCGGCGGCCGCGGCGGCTGCAGCCGTGGCCACCTCTTCGGAGATGTGGTTTGGGAAAGGGAGACATACATACACATGCACACGTGTGTGCGTGTGTGTGTGTGTGTGTTCAAGAATGGCACTGGATCTCCCCACTTTGGTGGGGACGGAGGGAATGAGGGCGGGATACTCCAAAAAAACGTTGCGGTGGGGGTGGGGGGCTGGGCCGGGAGCCGGGTTCTTGCGCTCTCCGGAGGGGGAGGTGTGTGTGTGTGTGTATGTGTAACATTTATATGAAATGAACGGGACTCTCTCTCCGCTTGCCGGCATGCTGATTTAGTGTGTGTAAGTATGTCTGTACGCATGTCTGTGGGGGGCCATATGCACCCAGAGGGTGGGCAGAGACACGACGGAAAACACAACTGCATGGTTCCCTCTCGGGGGGGGGGGCCGTCGAGTGAATGTGCCTGTCGTGTGGTGTGCTGTGATGCGGTGCGGTGGCAGTATGGTGTGGTGTGGTGTGGTGTGGTGTGAGGTTGTGGGAATGGATCTTCGTGGCACCTGTCTCGTCGTGAGGTTGGATGGAGGAGTGGTGCCTTAAGGTGGATGGAATGCGGGACGGCACTGGCATCGTAATGGCCGAAACTCTGTGGGGCGGGGTTAGTGTCCGGGGGATGGCGACATCTGCTGACGCCTGCTGCAGCGGTGGCCCCGGTTGAGAGCTGTCACAGTGGTCGGAGCCTCTTCGGGTACCTCCTTTAGGAAGTGGAAACACCCACGGTGGGTCATGTACGACATGTACGACAATTGCTGAAGGAGGCGGACGCGGCGGGAAGAGTCAAAATGGCTAGTGCTGACGTTCCTGCTGCCGTATATTTCTGTACGGGCAGGCCGACACTGGCATCGACGGCGAAACACCTTCACCTTCATCCATCATATGGCCGGCCGGCGGGCTAGCTGGTGCGCTCGGCCGAGGGTGGCGGGGGTGATTGTGCGGTGGTAATGTGAGCCGTCTGACGCGGAACGACACATACCGCATTCGGCTCCCCCCTTTTTAGGCGGATGTGTATGTGGGGGTGGGGAAGAGAGGAGCTTATTCGCCGCCCCGGCCCCCGCGGAAGAGTTACAAGGGCGGCTAGATATCTGTGATATGTGTGGGTGTGTTGGGGGGGAGACATTGCCGGCATGTTGTGATTGGCATTTTACAGTGACGAGCGATTGACAGTTGTGCTGGTGATGATGATGATGATGATGATGATGGTGATGCGCTTGATGGCTTCAACAGTTTCCAGCCGCAAGTGCCGGCGCCGGTAAGCTATCCACGAATTACGGTACAACAAGCGGTTTCGGAGCCTGCGGTTTCGGCACCCTCCGGTGGCCTCCGCCGCCGCCGGTTCTGTCCCCTTTCCTTCACGAAAAGGCCATCAGAGCAGAATACGGTTTACCTTTGAGCAGAGAAAGCAGTTTTCAGTTGTGGCCGCCGCCGCCGCCACATGCGCCGCCGCGTTCCCGTGGCGTCGGCACCACCCACCAAAGGGCGCGGTGCGCTGTCCTCCTCCTCCTCCTTGATATGCAGTCTCTCTCTTTACAACCGTGTGGCGCATTTTATGTATGTACCCTTCTTGTGGTCTGGTGATATAGCTTTGCGGCCGGGTTTTGCAGTAACACCCCCGTAGCACCCACTGCAGCAAAATACATCAGAGATCGTCGTAGGCACACAGCGGAGGAGAGAGCGAAAGCGAACAGCGGCCCCAGCCAGATTACACCCATGCGGTCGCGCCTGCATCGGTGCTCGCTGCCGGTGCAGCAATTACGTTGGTCGCCAAGTTGGTTCGAAATCGATACGATGCCCGATGCGCACTTGACGACGATGCAAACTGGTCATTCATTTCACAGGGACAGTTTCAAAGCTGCTGCTGCTGTTGGGTAGCCGGTAGCCGCTACTTGACGGCGGCCGTTACTTGTCCGCGTCCCAACTGGGAAGGAGCCTCAAGAGGAGCCTCAAGAGGAGGGCCTCAATCAATAAAAGGCCCTCAAGGCGGCTGCTCGTTAAAGGCATGTGGAGAGGGAGGAGATGCCCCCTCCCCACACCAGACTCACTAAAGGCATTTATTCCTGACAATTTGGACGCCTTCCGGTAGTTCATTTTTCTCTGTCAGTGTCTTGCCTATTATAATTTCCCTCTCCCCCGCCCTAAAAAAAGCGGTGCCATGTTCCGGTGCTGTCGTAGTAACCTGCGACTCGCACCTCTGACAACAACAACAACACCACCCATCCACAGCTGCCGCCTCCTCCCGCCTCACCTTCCCCCCCCTCACGCGCCCCGGCCGGCCGGCAAAGTCGGAGGTCAGCTCCGGAACCTTCACGATGTGCTAAGGATCCAGAAAACGGATCCAGAAAACGGATCCAGAAAACGGATCCAGAAAACGGATCCAGTGCACCTCACAGCAAGCAACCCGCAATAAGCTAACAAAACCAAACCATGTTGCTACAGCCCAGCTCCCGTGTGCCCCTATACAGTCCAATGTGCTAACAGGCACCCTAAACACTAAAATCCCCATTCCAAAACACATGTCTCACCAACTCCTTCGGCCAACATGTATGTGTGCATGTATGTATGATGTGTGGGGCAGGGGGTCATATCTTCACCCTGTGGCCGCTACCCGGCAGACCCTGCCTTCCCCGGTATTTCGGGGCACCCTCATCCAGTCACCCTAGTCAACTTCTCAGTGGATCCCTCAGGTTCCGCACCCACCACCAGTATGTATGTATGTATGTATGCGTGTGCGGCCACTCACACACTCATACACACATACACACACACTCTCCGGGTATCACCAGCTATCAGACAGGACCAACCAACCCAACTGCCCAAGCTGATGACATCCTCCTGCATGCCGGCTGCCTGCCTGCCGCCTTTCCGACCACCTCCCCTGCCGCCCTCTGAGCTGCCCCCAGGTTACCGGACAGCACACAGAGCCGCGTGTCGTATGCCTGCTAGAGAACACCGCCAAATGCGAACCTGCAGCTCCTCCCCCTTCACCTCTCAGCCCCTGGTAGCGCCCGCTGGGGGTGCTGGGGCCTGCGCCCCCTCCCCCGCTCCCGCCCCCGCCCCCTCCTCCGCCTCCGCCCCCGCCCCCGGCCCCGCCCCCTCCTCCGCAGCATCCCGGGCCGCCAGCTCATCGATCCGCTTGAACTGCCAGGGCCACCTGACATTGTTGAGTTGGACAGTTGGACAGTTTGGCGGTTAAACGATTGGTCGTTTGGATAGTTGGGCGGTTGGAAGTAAAACTTAGGACGAGCGGCTCGAGGCCCCCTGTGAGCCACCAGTAAGCGAAGTAATCAGGGCATGACCACTCCCCCCCCCCCGACCCCCCGACCCCCCCATGATGTGGTGATCTGTACGGACATGTGTATTGGGTGACACGTGTACCTGGTGGCGGGGGGGCGCACAGGGGGAGCTAATAAGAGGCAAGAGGCAAGAGGCAATGGGGGCCCTCAATGAGCTCTCAGGACGGCGTGAATAAACTTTCCAGGTGGGCCGTAAGGGAGCAGCAGCAGGCGGGGGGCGGTAAGAGGAGCTGCAGGGCTCACCCCGAGCAGGGAGGGGCCTCACCGTACGTTGTACAGGAACTGCCGGTGGTCGTAGCGGTTATCGTCTGGCGAGTACGACTCCATGTGGTACGACGGTGTCAGTACGGTAGCCTTGTGACGGTTGATGGAATAGAACCGGAAAAAATCCTTGACCTGCGGCTCGTCGTCACCCGGGTCCAGGGTGCGGCGGCGTGTTGCGGTGAGCTGGAGGACTGGAGGCTGGGTCGGTTGGGCTCAAGACATTGCAATCGATCAGGAGCTCCATCAGCTTTATACGACACAATGCCGTACAGTCACCCGAGGACCGGTCCGATCATTTGTTCCGTGGGAACCAAACCCGACGTGACGTGTCAGGGGTGTCTGTGTGTGTCTGTGTACGTGTGTGTGTTTGTTTGTGTGTGTGTATGTGTGTATGTGTGTATGTGTGTATGTGTGTATGTGTGTATATATATGTGTATATATATATATGTGTGTGTGTGTGTGTGTCGCACTCTTTGCGCCGCCCCGCTCCATACCCTACCCCTACCCCTACCCCTACCCCAAGCAGCTTCACCTCTACCCCTGCCCCTGCCCCTGGGCCCCCACCTTGGCGGCAATGGCCCCCGGGGCCAGGGCGCGGCCCCGCCACATGGCGGCGCACGCGTTGTACATCGCAACGGGGCCAGCACGGGCCACCTTGCGCAGCCTGCCGTACAGCGACAGCTCCGCGTACGTCATGCCCATGTCAACTTCGTCCAGCTGTACGGCAAGAACCATTGACGTGATGGCGAACGGCGGCGGCGGCGGCGGTAACGGCCACAAGACGCAAATTGTGTCGACAACAGCGGTAGGTCACCGCACACATTGAGGGAGGGAGATAGATAGATAGATAGATAGATAGATAGATAGATAGATAGATAGATAGATAGATAGATAGATAGAGAGATAGATAGATAGATAGATAGATAGATAGATAGATAGATAGATAGATAGATAGATAGATAGATAGATAGAGAGAGAGAGAGAGAGAGAGAGAGAGAAAAAGAGAGAGCGCCGCAGCAGCCGCCGCAGCAGCCGCAGTAGCAGCAGCAGTAGCAGCAGCAGTAGCAGCCGCAGTAGCAGCCGCAGTAGCAGCCGCAGTAGCAACTGGTTTCGTTTCAATCCCCATATAAACCAAGTCACGTGTTTTCCTGCTCCCCCCACCCCCCGGCCCCGCCCGGAGGTACCTCCTCTCGCACAGCGACCTCAGAAACGCGCACCTACACATACACTGCACATACATACACATCTACACCTATACACATACACATACATACACACACCTGCGGCTGCTGTCCCTCCACTAGCGGCTCCAGCTCCGCAGTTGGGGGGGCCGCCTCCACCTGCGAGCAAGCGGTGGAGGTGGAAACATCAAGTACAGGCCGTACGAAAGAGGTGCCGTATTTAACAAGGCGATGCCTTGCACACTCACAGCCTGCCAGTCCCGGGATCTTAACCTGTCCGTGCGGGTGTGGGTGGGGTGTGTTTGGTACGGCAGATGGCCCTGTACCGCCCTCGGGCCCCCAAAACGAACACCTCAGTGCTCCCCCAGCACACTGCTTGGCTGGGGCCGGGGCTGAACGTCC